AAATCTCTCATAAAAACACCTGTTTTCACTGACGTTTAACAAAATATGACTTCCATTTAATTCATTCTCATTTATGTTTTTGTTTTGATTATTTTAATTACATCTTATTATTCTCTTTCTTTGATTTACTGCCTTCATCTTATGGTTAATCACTTTGGTAGCAGCTGCTGTTTTAAATGTGCTTTATAAATAAATTTGACAACTTGACATGATCATGAGATTGTGTTGCTTTAAAATGGCTGCAGCTGTCATTTCTCAACACAAGGTGATTTTGTTTTTACACACACACGCACTGTGTGGTGTGTCGAGGATGCTCGTTGGACATCAGGTGGCACGGGGACAAGTGTCTCGTCACCTGAAGCGATGCCCTTTGCGTCGTTTCTCATCTCCATCATTTGCTCTTTTGGCAAAACCTCTTGAAATCGTTTTAAATAAAGACAAAACAATCTGCTGAAGAAAGCAGCCAAATTAATTTTTGTTTTATTTTTGCATCGTTAGTTTTGTCTAAACGCAGCAGGAATCATCTGAAAAAAATGTGACGTTAAACCTGATCTGGATGAAGACGAGATCAAACTTTGACCTTGTGGCAGTTCTGATGAGTTCCAGTCGAGCTGAGCGACTTCTCTTTTCATCGTTTGATTAAAACGTCGCCTCAGAAATATCAGGGACTGCTAAGAGCTCGTGTTTGCCTGTTTTTAACTTTTCATCTGGACTGTTACCACCACGGAGAAGCACATCATCCGTTTCCGTGGTAACAAGAGAAAAATAAGCCCAACAATGAATGTGGTTTGAGTTTCAGGAGCCGGGTTTGAGACAAGAGGACGACACAAGTCCAAAACAAATTCTAGAAAATGGAAAGAAATGTTTTGGAAAGAAAAGTGGATGGTTTACTTGTATATATGGCGGTGGCCATTTTGGATTTTAACATGGCAACCAAATTTTCTTAATTCTTACTCGTAGATGCTTATTATTATAGAAAGTCGGTCCTTGACTTATTTTTCAACCTATGCTCACGTGTTGGACGGACGTGACGAGGGACATAAAAAGACAAAGCAGCTGGACTTCTGTCCTGGAGCTGAAGACGTGCAGAGATCTGAGCTTTAACAACGTTTGTTTCAATATTATCAATATTTAGATTGAGCCACATGCACACCCCCACCTCACTGATGAAATGAGACCTGTTCATACAGAGGTCGCTCTGAAAAACATCTTTCATCTGATTCAGAACCACATGTGGAAGAAGTCCCGGTCCTGGTTTGTCCTGATCAGCTGCCATGGGCCACTGTTACCTGAAGCCTCGGTTTAACTGGATCTGAAGTCATTCCATGAAACCAAAGAGTCCTCCTGGCAAACAGAACCGCTCATTTTACCATTCACAGCGTGTCTGTAGTTAACGTCCCGACCCAGAATTCCTTTGGAGTATTAAAAACCCAAATAAAGGCCAAATGTGGGCCCGCTCTCTAACTGAGTGCAGACCGTGTGTCCTCTAACAGGAACTGGAGGGTTTCCCTCAGTGCCGTCGGAGCCCAGAGGCACAATTAACGAACAAAAGGCCCGGTTCTGGTAGATCCCCCCACAAACGCAGCGGGGGCCTCGTTTAATTTCAACCTTGCCTCTCCTGTAAATACCAGGGTCCGTCCCTCCTGCTGTCTCTGGCATTTGTCCTCCTGACTAACTGACGAGAGGACATGTCTTTACAGAACAGAGGAGGAACAAAAGCAGTTTAAACTTTATTAGAACGAGTGGCACCATGATGCCCTCCGTCTCTGAGGGATCTGAACAGTGAATGTTTTGGAGATGAGTCTTTTTCTGGATTTGAACTGAACAGAGAATGAAGTATAAACCTGAATGTTTTTTGGTCAAGATATTCAAGTGTAGGAGACACACTGTGGAGAAGAACAGAGGGAGGTTTTTCTTTATTTTTCTTATCCGAGGAAACGCAGAGTGACGAACCCTGGAGAGAGGAAGGAGCAGTTTTATCCTCCAACAGGTGCAGTGGTGGAGCTGGAGGAGGGGAAATGGTGGTCTTGACCTCCATAGATTAATCTTCAGCCACCTCAATCATAATAATAATAATGTGTGTGCTGTCATCATTGTATGTTCCCATACAATGGCAAAATTGGCTCTCTGCATTTAATCCATTCATGCCAGGTGGAGCAGTGAGCAGCTATTGAAAGCGTCCAGGGAGCAATTGGGGATGGGGTGTGCTGCTCAGAGACACCACAAGATGTGCAATGACTGGGGATCGAACCTGGGACTTTCGAGTCGGCTGCCCTGCCTCTACCCCATCTTGGCAAGGAATATAAACTTTTAAGCAATATGGTGTTGTTTTTAAAGTTCAAGTCAATTTTATTGTCATTTCCATCACGTGGTACATGAGGTGGAACGAATTTATGTACTCAGGGTCACAGTTACACCCAAACAATAGCAAAAATATAAATTATAAAAAGAAACCGCATATAAGGAGCTCAGATATAAATTAAGATATATGCTAAACACTTGTAATGTAAAACAATACGACGTAACAGCAGCCCAAGTGTGAAGTGCTTTATAAATAAAGTTGTATTGTAATATAAAAACTCGAACACATAGTTTCCTCAAATGGTGGGGTGTTTGGTTTAAATATGTACAAACCGGATTCCAAAAAAGTTGGGACACTAAACAAATTGTGAATAAAAACTGAATGCAATGATGTGGAGGTGCCAACATCTAATATTTTATTCAGAATAGAACACTAACCACAGATCAAAAGTTTAAACTGGGAGAATGTATCATTTTAATGGAAAAATCTGTTGTTTCCAAATTTCAGGGCGTCAACAAATCCCAAAAAAGTTGGGACAAGTCCATTTTTACCACTGTGTGGCATCCCCCCTTCTTCTTACAACACTCAACAGACGTCTGGGGACAGAGGAGACCAGTTTCTCAAGTGTAGAAATAGGAATGCTCTCCCATTCATGTCTAATACAGGCCTCTAACTGTTCAATCGTCTTGGGCCTTCTTTGTCGCACCTTCCTCTTTATGATGCACCAAATGTTCTCTATAGGTGAAAGATCTGGACTGCAGGCTGGCCATTTCAGTACCCGGATCCTTCTCCTACGTAGCCATGATGTTGTGATTGCTGCAGAATGTGGTCTGGCATTATCGTGTGGAAAAATGCAGGGTCTTCCCTGAAAGAGATGACGTCTAGATGGGAGCATATGTTGTTCTAGAACCTGAACATAGTTCTCTGCATTAATGGTGCCTTTCCAGACATGCAAGCTGCCCATGCCACAAGCGCTCATGCAACCCCATACCATCAGTGATGCAGGCTTATGAACGGAGCGTTGATAACAACTTGGGCTATCCTTGTCCTCTCTGGTCCGGATGACATGGCGTCCCAGTGTTCCATAAAGAACTTCAAATCGTGATTCATCTGACCACAGAACAGTCTTCCATTTTGCCACACTCTATTTTAAATGACCCCTGGCCCAGTGCAAACGTCTGAGCTTGTGGAGCTTGCTTAGAAATGGCTTCCTCTTTGCACTGTAGAGTTTCAGCTGGCAACGGCGATGGCACGGTAGATTGTGTTCACTGACAATGCTTTCTGGAAGTATTCCTGAGCCCATTCTGTTATTTCCTTGACAGTGACATTCCTGTTTGAGGTGCAGTGACGTTTAAGGGCCCGGAGATCACGAGCATCCAGTAGAGTTTTACGGCCTTGACCCTTACGCACAGCGATTGTTCCAGATTCTCTGAATCTTTTGATGATGATATGCAGCAGAGTGAAGAGATGTGATCAATTTTTCCTCCTGTAGTCCAAGCCTGTTGTGGCAGATCTAAAGGGTAGCTCAGTTAACCCAAGCCGACCCCAACTATAGGATTTATCAATCCTATAGTAATAAATCAATTTATTAATAAGGGTGACTGTGGCTGAGTGGTTAGAGCAGTCATCCTCCAATGCAAGAGTTGGGAGTTTGATTCTACAAGCAGTCACATGCTGAAGTGTCCCTGGGCAAGACACTGAACCATTGCCTCCGATGTGTGTCCCTTCGGTGAGGAATGTGATAAAACACTGGTTGTTCTCTATAGATTCAGATTAGCTTTGTAGAGATCTAGTAGAGTGCTGTATGAATGGATAAATGAGGCACGGAATGTGTTGTAAAGTACTTTGAGTATCTTGATAAGACTTAAAAGTGCTATACATGTGCCATTTACCATAAAAAGGAAAGATTTCTTAAAAGTAGACAATGTGTCATCTTCACGGAGAGAAACTAGAAGTTGGTTCCACAAGTGAGGAGCCTGATGCGTCCAATTCTTGTTTTCAAAATTCTTTGAACCGCAAGTAAACCGGCAGTCTGAGAGTGAAGTGCTCTGTCAGGAAAATATGGAAGAATAAGATCTTTAATGTAAGGTGGATCTTGATTGTTGGGAGCTTTGCATGTTGGAAGCAAGATTTTAAATTGTGAAGATTTTGAATTCTATTCTGAATTTGACAGGGAGCCGATGGAGAGAAGCTAAAACTGGAAAAACCTGATCTCTCCTGACACTCAGCAGAACACCAGCAGCATTTTGGATCAACTGAAAACTTTTTAAAGAGATTTATGGACGCCCATATAATAAAGAATTACAATAGTCCTGTCTAAAAGTGACAACCCAGTTTTTCTGCATGATTTCTTGGCATTTTGATTCTCTAAATGGTCTGTCCTCTCCTTACCTTTCTGCCTCTCCTACCTTTCATACCCTTGCTTATCTTATTTTTGGGTCTGCTGCTCCTGACTGGACCAAAGACGAGGTGTGAGCTCCAAGGGGACCGGGCCTGTGCGCGGTGTGGCCAAGACTATGGAAGGAATTGCCTTAGCTCGTTAGACAGGCGTCCTACTTAGCTGCTTTTAAATCTTCTCTTTAAACTCATTTTTATTATCAGTTACTTTTTAGAAGCTGATTTTGCCGTTGTATTCCCATTTTTACTTTTTGATTGAATACATTTTTTTAAATAATTTTTTTCTGGTTTGCTCTTGCAGAGGCTCCTCCATCTGGGATGTCCAAGAACGGATACTTTTTTCAAGAAATGGGTGAGTCTGTTAGCCTGTTCATCACAAATCATAACAAACACTTTCTTTAAAGATGTCTTGGTTCATGCCCACTAATCCAGGTAGAAAAGTCTAACGAGTCAAGTCAGATTTATTTACAGATGCTGGTCATAAAATTAGAATATGATGAAAAAGTTTATTTATCTCAGTAACTCCATTCAAAAAGTGAAACTTGTATATTATATTAATTCATTACACACAGGTCCTTAAACCAGGTACTGGTAGCTTTGGCACTGTGTGCAGGTACCAAGTCCTGTTGGAAAATTAAATCTGCATCTCCTTAAAGATGGTCAGCAGCAGGAAGCATGAAGTGCTAAAACTTCCTGGTAGATGGCTATGTTGACCTTGGACCTCAAAAACCACAGTGGGCCAACAACAGCAGATGATGTGGTAACCCAAACCATCACTGACTGTGGAAACTTGACACTGGACCTCAAGCAACGTGGATTCTGTGCTTCTCCTCTCTTCCTCCAGACTTTGGGACCTTGATTTCCCCCCAAAAAATGCAAAATGTACTTTCATCAGAGAACATAACTTTGGACCACTCAGCAGCAGTCCCAGACGAGACACTTCTGATGCTGTCTCTTGTTCAAGAGTGGCTTGACACAAGGAATGGGACAGCTGAAACCCATGTCTTGCATATGTCTGTGCATGGTGGTTCTTGAAGCACCAACTCCAGCTGCTGTCAACTCTTTGTGAATCTCCCTCACATTTTGGCAGGTTTTGTTTCACCATCCTCGGTGCGGTTATCCCTATTGCTTGTACACTTTTTTTCTACCACATCGTTTCCTTTCCTTCGCCTCTCTATTGATGTGCTTAAACACAGAGCTCTGTGAACAGCCAGCCTCTTTAGCAACGACCTTTTGTGTCTTGCCCTCCTTGTGCAACATGTCAATGATCGTCTTTTGGACAACTGTCCAGTCAGCAGTCTTCCCCATGATTGTGCAGCCTACAGAACTAGACTGAGAGACCATTTAAAGGACTTTGCAGGTGTTTTGAGTTAATTAGCTGATTACACTGTGGCACCAGGTGTCTTCAATATTGAACCTTTTCACAATATTCTAATTTTCTGAGACACTGAATTTGGAGTTTTCATCAGTTGTCAGTTATAATCAACAACATTAAAAGAAATACACATGTGAAATATATCAGTCTGTGTGTAATGAATTAATATAATACTGTAGGGACAAAAGTTTCACTTTTTGAATGGAATTACTGAAATAAATCAACTTTTTCATGATATTCTAATTTTATGACCACCACCTGTATATATGTATATATTTAAAGCAGGAACTGTTACCCAAGTGCTTAACAAAGTTAAGTCAGGTCCTCTGGACAGTTTCTTTTTATTGAAACATTTTGTCTTTCATCTGAAAGTCTTGGTCAGTCCGAGGAGCCATAACAAACTCAGTCCTTTAGTTCATTCTGCTCTGTTTTCTGTATTTTTTTTGTTCCTGCCAAGGTTTCCTCGTAGTTTACTGCAGCTCGGACACAGAACGCCTCCCAGCTCTCTCACTCTGCAGAGTTTGAACAGAAATAATCAGCCGTGTTCTCACAGCAGTTTCATTACCTTCAAGCCAAAGAGAGGCTTCCAATTAGTTTGTGCTTCCGAAGCCGAGGAGATGGAATACACTCGCGCTGGATGTCCCCGTCTCCCTCAGCTAATTATTCCCCTTCTGTATGATACCAAATCATTCAACAGAGCCACAGAAGGCCTTCTGCTGCAGCTCATCTGAGCTGTCTGTCATCAAAACACAAACGCAATTACATTATCGCTGGGATGTGAGCATTACCCACTGCTGTCGTCGTAGGGGTTCGTTAGGAAACGTTTGTCTGGAAGCTAAATGCTCCACGTCACACATGCCAATGAGGGAGGGAACCGTGTTAGCATGTAAATCTATATTTTCTAACGAAAACAGGCTCAAATTTATCCATATACTCCCACTAGTATTTGGGTAAATAGTGCACCACAGACTTCTTGTCTCCAACAATATTCTGATGTCTGACCTCTCTTTTCTGGAGGAGTGGACTCAGCTTTTAATCTGTCCACAAATTATCATTTGAGTAGAGGCCAGGGCTTTGGGAAGGCTGTTACAGAAGCTAAACGTTAGCCTGATTTGACCAACCAGAAACCAGTTCTGATGTGGGTTTGGGACCATGGTGCTGTTCGAACCACCAAACCAGGCCACGTACAGGAAAACAAACTGATTTTCTAAAACTGGCCTGAATTCTGTAAGAACTAGGGGCCCTGATTTTCTTAATTTTTTGTAGTTTTAACAACAATTGTCTATACTTCATTTATATTTTGGAGCACTACCTCCATGGCCAGTTAAAACAAGTTTGTATTGTTTTTAGGATATGGGAAAATTGAAAGTACATTGTGACCTTATAACACATGACAGTGTCGCTTATAAAACAAAATTGGTATCGGCCAAAATCGGAATGGGCAGGTCAGACTTTTTAGAAATTGGCGTTCGGCCAGAAAACTACAATGGTGCACCTCTAGTGTGAACTCAATGCAAAATTATTTTTTTCTTACCATTTTGAATCTCCAACTGGTCCCAAAGTTACAGTCCAGCTAGATACAACCTAAGACGTATTATTGGCTCCTTTGTGAATTTAAAGAAAGTTCATAACAAGTTTGAACTTGTGCTCCCACTTCTTGTTTTTTAAACACCATCGATGCAGCTTGTTCAATCATTCCATTCTGGGAAAAGAATGATTCAAATAAATAATTAAAAACTCAAATTAATGAGTGGATGGAGACCTCTGACCACATCGAAGAGTCTTTTTCCAAATGTTAAAGGATGAAACATCAGTTAAAGAAGATTGAGGACATTTTTCAGGCACCGAACACTGAGTTTATCTTTTAAAAGGCAGTTGTGTTTGATGCCCTTCCATAAAACAAAGCAGTAAAGTTTGAAACGTTTTATTGGTGCATGATGCTTCTGAGTGGGAGTTTGTCCCAGCTCCCTGCAGATGTGCATCAATCATTAAGCGTTTCCTCACGGAGTACACTTCATCCCTCTGCTCCATGTTGCGTGTGCGGTATCCTCGGCTTCTTTGTATTTTGAATTTAAGAAAGGATCAAAATAAATGCTTACTGGAAGTTCGATCTCAGAGCCGATCAGTGATATTTTAGGTGCACCCATCGTGCGGTTCCTGCTGCTGCTCTGAAGGTGGTTTGAATGTCAGACCCCAGCTGTTTGTCAGAGGAACGCAGGCCGTTCACCTCATGTCGAATGCTGATGGATGATCCTGACGGAACAGAAGGGGAAACACAGATAAGGTCAGCGGTAAACGGTCTGAGGTGATCTTGTTGCGTCATCGTGATCCCTGGACGGTGCTTGGGACCGCCGTGGTTACTGCAGGATGTGATTTAAAGGTCCACAGAGTCAGGAGGACAGAACCAGGATGATGCCTGATGTCCTTAAAATACCTCCTGATTACACACAGAACCACAAACGTTCAACAGAAATGGACTTTTTCTATCCATCTACCCACCCGGCCAGCCACCCACCTCCATCCATTCATCCATCTATCCACCTCCATCCATAAATCCATTCATCCATCCATCCATAAATACATTCATCCATTCATCCATCCATCCATTCACCTCCATCCATCCGTCCGTCCGTCCATCCATCTGTCTATCTGTCCATCCTTCCTTACAACAAGAAGTGATTCTGTCTTTAATAAAGCTGTGAGAACACCAGACAGATAGAGTGTACCTGCGATCCAAAGCAAAGTGTTCCAAGTATACCCAAGTGTTTTGAGTTCCATGCTAGGCCAGGTACCCAGTGACCCTGTGCCGTTGTGTTCCCAGAGCAGCGGGAGGCGGAGCAAGAGGAGGGCAGCGAGGGTCGAGAGGAGGGACAGGACCTACCGATCTCCTGCGGAGACGACATCCACCTCTACGACAACCAGATCAGCCCTGGAACAGGTCAGAACATAGAGAGAAAGAGAGATGGAGAGATATAGAGAAATATATAGAGATAGAGATGTAGAGATAGAGAGAGAGATTTAAGGAGAGAGAGAGATATTTAAGGAGGGAGTGAGAGGTACTGAAGAAAATAAGGTTGTGACGAGACCAAATTTTCCTTTTGGAGATTTGGTCATCGTCTGGGTACGAAAAGCAGCCATCATCCACTTAACCCCAAGGTTGATAAATTTAATCTTCTGGAGTTAAGTTTAAAAATAAAAGATGGGCATATTCCTCTTCAAAAACCAATATGTTGGCATCAAAGCACTCTTACTAATATTTTGTTCGGTTTCCACTACAATTTCTAGTAGTCACTCTGCAGCTTTTAAAAAAAAAAAAAATTATTATTCATCACAACATGCAGCTCAATCGAGAGCCGCGCACTACTGCTTTTGTTCGGATTTCAGATGATTTGCAAGAAATTTTTAGAGCCATTTCTCCATCGAACTCTCTGGGATTTTTGGTGAAACGAGTGAGAAAACTCAGTCCTGTCACAGTGGAGTTCAAACGAGTCACAGACAACTGAAAAGGGGTTTTTGTATATTTAATTTTATGATTTTTGGAAAAACCTTCACTAACTTTTGAGCTTTTAAGTTTTTCTCTTTCATCAGTCTGATCAGGGAGTCCATCGTGATACTGACCCAGCTGGTTTTCAGGTTGTTGTTGCCCTGGCAACGGGACAAGTGCAGCACCTGTAGGGAAGGAAGGAGTTAGATGTGACAGGTGACCACGTCACTTTGGCTCATGCTCCGTATGAACCGACCCCGAGGCACAAACAGGAGATCCAGATCAGGTTCTGTGAATGTCAAGTTTAAAGGAAAACTTTCTTCTTTCTTTTCAGAGGTCTGCTTTAATTTCCCTTATTGCAAAGCAAAGAGGAACTGAAGACGCCTTTCGTCTGTCTGTGCATGTTATGAACATAACTTGAAAAATAAGTGAAGTACCATCTTCCGTTTTGGTGCGTGGCTGCATCTCAGTTGCTTTGATAAAAGTTTACCCCAGTCGGTGTGATTTAATAAACTCATGGACATACTGACATGCAGCGTGTCTCCTGACTCCGTGGCATGTGGAGGCGAAACAAACCAAACCCCATTAGCCAGAGACATTCAGAAACTGGGAAATAAAGTTCCCTGTAAGGTCACACTGGCGTCATTTCCTTCAAGCTGTTGTCACAAAAAATGGTTCAATGAGATGTTTGAGCTGAAAACAGTCTAATGTGTTCATGTCAGATTGTGTTTTTCTATTTGTAGGACCTGGTGAAGACCAGATGTTTGTCGTGTTAAATTAAACAACATCTTCAACACATTTATACTAATGGAAGTTCTCCTGCTTCTGGGGTTATACACCAAGGTGTCGTCTGCACAGGTGCCAACAATAACATGTCAGCTGCAAAGTTTAAGATCGGCTGTTTTTTTTAGCTTGAAATAGTGACGTAGTCAGTTGAGAAGTCTGACAGCAAAGCCAACAGGTCTGTGCTGCTTCGCCCACTTTGTGCACCAACCACACTTGTAAGGAAACTTCCAATTCTGCCCTCCAATTGTTGACAAATGCACCAAGGTGTGAGGAAAAATGAATGAAGTTTGGATTCTTTTAAGGAACATTTATCATTCAGCAAGAACCAGAAGCTTATTTCAGCCGCTTGGATCCAGGATCTCATTCTTTCAGTTGGGATCTAAACCTCTTGACCACAGCTGAAGATTGGGACGTTGCTAGACCAATAAATCAGGCATTCATCGGCACAACAGACTGGACCAACATCCCCATGACTCGGATGAAGCTCCGTTCCATCGGCCCATCTTCTTCATATCGTTAGTCATGAGCAAGACTTCTAGAGACTCATGCCCAACTCACAATGAGCATTCCACCTTTTTCCAGCTGAGAACCATGGCCTCCGACATAAAGAAGCTGAGCAATCCTGTCTCTGAATCACCCTGCCAAAGACCATGACCTGAAGACACCACATCATCTGCAAAACAGAGCAATCATCACCCAGAGGTTCCCATGTCCAACAGGACACCTTTCATTCAACCTTTATTTATACAGGTTTGTCTCATTGAGTCACAAGGACCCATTTTCAAGAGAAACCTGTGGGACCTTAAGGAACACGATCACAGAACTTCTTCAATTCCACAAAACACATGTAGACTGGAGAGTCCTGCTAGTTTCACACCCTTAAAGGTTAAGATCTGGTCTATTGTTCCACAACTATGACCGAAGCCTTACTCCTCCTGGATCCAAGGTTCAACAATCAGTCGGAGCTTCCCTTCCAACACCCTAGGGTAAACTTTCCAGGTAGGTGGCGAAGTGCGATTCCTTAAAAGCCGACCAATCCATAGGAGGTCTGCCTCTCCACAGGTTTTGTCCCAGTCCTCTATGAGACATTGAAGGGATGTGCCAACCATGATCATGACCATCAGCATCATGGGAAACACTCATCTTCTCCTGGCACCCTCCTACAAAGATGCATTTTAATCTCCTCATTGACTGCCACTATGGTAATGGACTGACCTTTTTCCAAGTCCTCACTCCCTGCCTCCTTAAAAGAGAACATGACCAGATTAAGGAGATCCTCAGGGGCCTCCTTCCACGATCTGACAATATCTTCTAAATTTCTGTTAAAATTTGTTAATTTTGACAGGATTTTGAGTATTTTACCATTGAAATGGACTGTAGTTGTATAGCGCCTTTCTATCTTATCGAGATACTCAAAGCGGTGTGGGGAGCTTTAAGGCTTTGCTTTGATTTAAACGATTTGCAAAATAAACCTGCTCTCAAAATAGTCCCCGAGTCGTCGTGGGAGTCCTGAAACCTTCTCAATTGAGTTTGCCCCTGAAAGCGGGACAAACCTGAGAGCTGTTGGCAACTTATGAAACTAAATTGTGACTGATTGGAGACAAACGAGGGGCTCTGCCTTGTGAACTTTACAAAACTGCAAATAAAATGAGAATAAATTGAGAGACATGATTGACACACCTTGTGACTAACCTGCAGTGACATAATTTACACTTTACGAACAGCTGGTGAATATTGACCCAACTGTCATGTTGGAAGGAACAATTTAGCGTTGATTCCAAGTTAAAACGCTCATTTGTGTTGCCAACTCGTCACCAACAGACTCGAAGAACGGCGTTCAGGAGGAAGTCTCAAATGTCTCAATGTTCCCGGGAGTTCTGTTTCCACGTGAGAGTCTGAAGCTTTTAATTTGAGCATGTTCCAAGGATGTTGTACGACAAATTTTCTCTCAATAGTCGTTGCAAGCGTCTCAGACCTGACTTAAATTAGTTTTCTTCAGATTTTGAGCAGAACTGCTATAAATCTCTTCAGCCCTGAATGTCCAGGCCCAAAAATCAAACTAATAATAAATATTATTCATAGATAACTTCTTTTTTCTACAACTTACTCCAGATTAAAGTGGCCAAGACGGCTGCGGTAGTGTGCACGGCCTAAGTTTCAGGTTTGCCATCCATGCACATGAAATAAGGCCGTGATTTTTGAAAACTGAGCTGATTTTTCACAGCCCGTACGTTTTCTACAAAGGAGTCATCAGTCCTCCCTCACCAACCCCCACCTCTTCCAGATGTAAAACTTTTTTAGCCCCACGTAAGGCAATTTTTAAAAAGTCTCAGTTTCAGACCCCGGCTCTGTGATCTCTAAATCCTGAAACGCTCCTGGACGACTTTCAGACACTCATCAGATGGAGGGGTGATGATTGGATGAATTTCTGAAGATCCCCTGGAGGCTGCAGCCCCCTCCCTGACCGGAGGGGATCAGGCCATCTTCTCCGTTAGATGGAGAGAATCCAGGACGCATGTCCGTTGCAACAAGACGAGAGTTCAGGCTCGCTAAGATGGCGAGTTGTCCAAAATCCAATCCTTGGTACTTTTGAGTCTCAGCTGCGCTAAAGCCTCATCACCTGAGAACACCCGATCTCCACTAGTCGTACATCGTGATGTCTTCATCACTGTTAAAAGAAGCTTTACCCCCACCCCCACCCCCACCAGCACCCCAACACCACCAGGCTGCGTGCCTTCATAGTTTTTAGACTCATTAAACGTTCGGTTTATTAGAAATGCTTTTTACATGCAAATATAAAACGTTATTCGCTGCAGATTTGCATAAAATGTCAGATTCAGGAGAAGCCGAGCTGGTGGGGTGTTCTGCTTGTTGAGGGGGGGGCGGGTGTCAAACGGTGATGCTCGAGTCGGCTTTTAAGTCTCCTTCTCCTCCTCATTAGTAATCCCTTTACAGACGTGGATGTACGTGAAATTAAAGACACCAGAACCGGAGGAGCACGAGAGCAGCTTCCTTTAAGGAACAGAACAATTCAACAACAGATGTGAGCTCAGTCTTTGTTTGGGATGACCCTCAGCTACTACCACACCAGTTTACAGCTCAGTACCTGTAAAACTGAGCGAGTTGTACCCATTTTTGTGTTTGCTAATGGCGCTAAGCTGCGGCGACCATCTTCAATCGTACCGACTCCAAAACCTACTCAGAAGTAGTCCATCACCCTCTAATTACTTCCTGAGAGTTTCAATAAAACTCATCCAGTGGTTCATGAGATATTTATCGTATTTTCCGGCATATAAGTTGCTTCGGAGTACATGTCGCGTTTATTATGCGTCACCGCTGACCCATGGGAAACGTGGGCCGGTGTTGTGCCAAAAATCGATTGGCAGCCATGGGAGTGCACACGGGAGGACTCGCTGTTGCAGTTCTTCGAAATTTAACAAGATTAACACTTAAAAAAAATATTTGTTTGCTCAACGTTATAGCACAGAGGTGTCTCAGTTTAACTTTTTCCTTAATAAATGCACTTTAATGGTCGATGTTTGGCAGCGGGGGTAACGGTACAGGAACAACATATAGGCCTACCGGTAGTTGTCAAAAGCCTAGAGGGCCCTCTCGTGCCTCTAGTGGCTGCAAATGGTAATTTTTTCTCTGGTTCATGTCACTATGAAGGAACATTTAAAGCGTCAGTCAAAAATTGCGTTATGACTATGGGGAAAAAAGTATATAATTAACAGGACTGGCAAATCTATGAAAAATAAAACCTGCAACTTATACGCTGGAAAATACGGTAGCTAACAGACAAAACTCAATGACGCAAACTGTTACTGCCCAAAGTTTGCAGTTTGTAGCCGTCACAGTATGTGTAGGGGATGACTCTCAGCTACTACCGCACCAAATTATAGCTTAATATCTGTAAAAATGACTGTTACAAACATTTTGTGTTTGCTAAGAATGGTTGGCTGTGGCAGCCATCTTGAAATGGATTGACGTCAAGTGGTAACAGTTGTAGACGTACATCCAATGATTACTTCCTGAAAGTTGTATTAAAATCCTTTTACTGGTTGAAGAGATATTTTGCTAACAGTCTCCAACAGATAATGCAAAATTTTTAAACACAGATCATCACAATCTGTTGTGAGCTAGGAACTACTCTCAGCTACTACCACTCTAAACTTTAGCCCAATATTTGTAATTTGTAAACACGTTTGGTTTCAAATAGCCGAAAATGGCAGAATTATTATTATTTTTTTTTCAGATGCCGACGACTCTGGCTGTGTGTTGCTGAACACATCAAGAAGGGTAAGCACAAACAAACAAACAAAACAACATTTGGTTTTCACATGTGAAAATGTTTTTATTTCCACATGTTTTTTTTTTTCTTCTATTAAGCCCACATGGAAGAAAATTGCAAAACATTTTCCACCTATTTCACTTCAAATTCACATATGAAAATGTTTTCCACATTTGAAATTTGTTTATTTTTATGGCTCCAATTCCACATGAGAAACATGCGCCAAACTTGTTTCACATGAGCAAATAAAAGTGTTTTTCTTCAATTGCACACTGGAAATGTGCCGAATACATTTGCATGTTTATTTATCATGTTTTGCACTGAAAAGATTTTTCACATTTGATGTTTGTTTTCACTCCAAAACACATTTCACATATGTTTCATGTTAATTCATCTTAATTTCACATGTTTAAAACTGATTCACACCCCCCACCCCACGTTTGTTTGCTTTTGTTCCAAGTCCACATGAAAAGTGTATTTCGCATAAATTTGCGCATGTTCACATATGAAAAAGTAATTTTCCACATGAATGTTTGTTTTATCCTTCCATAGCCACATGGGAAATGTGCAACACTTTTCATTTTTACCATGTTTTGACATGTGAAAACTACACTTTTCCAAATATGAAGTATTTGTTCCAAACCCTACACACGGAACATGTTTAAAATGTGTTTTACATGAAATTCACATATGTCACATGCTAATTCTAAGCGTTTTCACATTTGGAAATACCAGTATGTAATTTTCCACATGTGAAGTTTTAGGTTTACTTCTTTCTATTTTCCACACCAGAAATGTTCCAAACATGTTTCACCTCAAACCTGCTTTTCCACATGTGAATAAATGTGTTATAAATATGCTTTTGCTCAAACTCAAACAGAACATGTGCAAAATATGTTTCACATGGTAATTTAGTTGTTTCCGTACAAGGTGTTTTTTTCTGTTTGTTTTGTTCTAAATTTGTTTGGGACATGTACATAACATTTCAGATTATCGTTAAAAAGCGTTTTCACAAGTGAAAACATTTTTCACATATGAAATTGATATTATTGTTTAATTTCACATGGGAAATTTATAAAACGTTTCACATGCTTTTGTACGTTGATTTATCAAAATTTGATGTGAATATTTTTTTATTTTTCTCGTGAAGTTTTTATTATCCCAAACCTACGCAGGGATCATGTTTAAAACATGTGTTTTACATACATTTCACATATATCACATGTATTCAGAAGGTTTTCACATGTGAAAATATGTTATTTTCCACATCTGAAGTTTCAGTTTTATTTCTTGACATTTTCACTGAAGAAATGTTTAACCTCCTAGGACCTGGCATCCACATATGCAAGAGTTCGGGTCTTAGGAGGTTAAAACATGTTTCACGTGTGTTTTGCTTGTTAATTTCACATGTGAACATGTGCTTTTCCACATGTGAAGTCCATGTTGTGGGCCAAACTCACACAGTTATGTATAAAAACTTGTTTCACATGCACTTCTGTCACACAGTTTTCATAGATGGAAACTCGTGTTTTGTTTTCTGCAGGGGTTACATTGTTTTGTTCTAAATTTATTTAGGAAACATTCTAAACATGTTATGTCTTTTTTTTTCCACATGTGAAGACATGCTCAGGTTCCACCTGGGACTCCTCCGCCTTCATCTTCTTCAGTTTTCATATTTAGCATTTTAAAAAAATCAGCCCCACCTTCCTAAAATAATAATAATAAAAATAAAAGACCTATTAGTGATTCCAGTTTGTCGACTTTATATGTTATAAGATTATAATTTGACTTCATGAACAAGAAAACAACTTAAATCTGAATAAAGTTGGTTAAAATGTCTTTAAACAAAAACTGAAGGAGCAGACAGTGAATCTTCTCCTGCTGAGATTTAACTTGTCATTTATTCTGACAGATGTTAGTGAGTGATTTGTCTAATTGTTTATTAACAAAAATGTCAGTTTCTACCAAAATAAAAGAACTTCCTTCCTTTAGGATAGCACATTCATTCAGCTTTTATTTAGACACGCTAATCCCATTGAGCCTCGAGGACTCACAGGTCACAAGAGAGACCTGACATCCCTGAGCTGTGACTGTCGAGGACGAGTCGGAGACAGAAAACAAAAGCAAAAAATGCACCTCCTTGAAATCACAGTATTTAATCCCAAATATCACTAAAGTTTGCATAAATATAAAAAACAAAACAGATGCTAACAGCTAGCAGCTTTACCAACGCTAACGGGGCTAAAACCATGAATTAATCTTATTTTTATAATTTTAGTCCTTTGATTTGGGAGCAAAAGACTCACATTTATGCAGCTCTTTTCCAGAAACGATCCAGGACCTGCAGACGTTCGGCTTTTCTTCACGGTGCTTGTTTTAGTTTAAAAAGATCAGCAGGAGTTCCACTTGCAGAGTTGTGTCGTCGCACGGATCAATGGTTCTGGGCTTTTAATCGAGCCACATTTGGACTTTTTGTTCATTCCGTCTGCGTGGAGCGCTTCGCTCGAACCGTTCGGACCTCAGAGGAGTGAAGCCCGTCGTCTGTTTGACGTCTACGATCAGAGCTCCAGCACTCATCCGGGCCGAATTCAGTTTGATCGTTGTTTAATTAATGAACTCGTTAAAGACAGAACTACACTAAAAACCAGATGAAATCTAGTGAAGTACTGGTATTTGACCAGTTTCACCAAATGACTTCCGTCAACCTGACCAGCACATAAACTTCATTTAAAGGTCCATTCTTGGCACCTCCAAAACTCACATGTCTGCTTCTTTGTTTTTTTGTCTCGAAGTGGCAGCGACGCATCACAAGTTCTGTTTGATTAAATCAGTGACTCTGTTCTGTTGTTGGGAGAATTTGGTGCCAAAAGTTAATTTGTTTTTATTTTTTGTAAAGTTCATTGAGTGAGGAAAAAAGTTAAGGTCCTAAACGTTTTAACGTCGAGTCAAAACTAACCTAAAGTGAACAAAAACACAACAGATTACAAAGAGTCGTTGTTTTTTCAACATAACGCTAAACAGAGTGGAAAAACTGTGTCCAGCCTTTCTGCTTCACAACGCCAAGATGGAAAAACATCAGCAATGACCTCAGAGAAGCAGCTGACCAATCCCAGAGGGGTCAAAGGTCATTTAGGGTCCATCGTTCTGCAGAGAGAAAGATTATTCACACGTGGGAAACATTTCAGACAGCTGATCGTCTTCACAGCAGATTCACCCTGAAGGTCAGACCATACAATGACTCTACAGTCAGCGGGTCAAAGGTCATGACCTCTTCTCTCTAAAAACAACATGGCAGCTCAATTTTGGTTCGGAAACTTTAATTTGAAAGAACCACAAGACTTCTGGACCAGAACCAGAGCAGAGGGCAGATGTTACCCAGAAAGCACTGCAGCAAACGGCTCCTCCCAGCTGTCGGCACGGTGGTGGAGGGCTTATGGTCTGGGCTCCTGTCAGTCACTGAGTGGACCAGGAATTACTCTGTAGATTAAAGGGTTCTGGAGTCAGATGAATCCATCAGTCCAACAGCTGAAACTTGGACTAAACTGGGTCCAACAGAACCGTGATCCCAAACACAGCAGCTGATCTACAACAGAACAGGTTGGAAAGAACCGAACCAAGGTGCTGCAAGTGTCCAGAGTCCAGAACCTCAACCTGAGTGAAATGATGGAAAGAAGAGTGGGCCAAAGGTCCTCCACAACATGAGAGAGACTGATGAAGTCCTACAGAAACCCACTGAGGGTTCTGGTGCTGGAGGAGGTTCTTGAAGCGCTGGATAATCAGCTCTTCACTCACAGCTTTAACTTTTTGTTTTATTAACAACGACTCTGTTGAATCTGTTGTTTTTAGTTTTCTTGAGGTCAGATTTGAAGGATTTAAGAACCCGGTAAAGACCAGATCGGGCTTCTGTCCTCAACCCCAGAACTGAAAGAGGGTGGACTTTATTTTCTCCTTTCATTGTAATCTGAGCGGGACAAAAATCCAATTATACGAGGTGGTGATCCAGTTTTCTTACCAACTTGAAGCCCTAACTTCTGGTTCTGACCCGCAGTACGTGAAGCTCATGAACTTTGAGGAGGAGGTCCGGGCTCACCGGGACCTGGACGGCTTCCTGGCCAGGGCGAGCATACTGCTGGACGAGACGGCCGCTTCGCTGGACGACGTCCTGAAGAGAATGCTGCACCACGTGGGCCAGGACAGCCTGGTCTGTGAGCCCAGCTGCAACTTTGAGGAGGTGATGAGCATGCTTTTCACAGACGCAGGCGCTCAGGAGGTGAACGGTAAGCAGCGCCGCCGGGGACGAGCACGGAAAATAAAAACAATAAAATCAAATAATTAAGATGTTAGCGTTAGCTTGGCATGTCTCTCTTAAAGGGGTCTCCTTCTAGTTGGAACAATGGATCTTATTCTCAGCTATAAATAAAGACTGTAAAAATACTGAAGGGTTAGCTTTTAAAAAACTGACATGTAGATGTTGCAGTGCATTCTGGGTAGATGATATAAACAGGTTGCTCCGGAACGAGCTCAACTCAGCTGGTATGATAATTTTGGACATTGTCTGACGTTCAGCCCTTAAACTTGAACGGAAGAAACACTGATGTCCTCCGCTCTCTGAGGGGTTTGATTAGTGAATGTTTGTTTTGGAGATGAGTGTTTTTCTGGACTGGAAGTGAACGGAGAATGAAGTCGACCTGAATATTTTTGTTGTCAGATATTCAAGTGCAGAAGTTACTGTGTTGAAGAGCAGAGGGAGCACCGAGTGATGGATTCTGGCGAGTGGAGCCAGGGGGGCCAGTGGTGGCCTTGGCCCCATAAATTAATCTTTGGCCACCCCAATCATTTGAGGAAACAATAATTTTAAGCAATATGAAGACTAGAAAGCATAGTTTCCTCTAATGGTATCAGTGGGCTGCTTACATGTATTCATGGTGACGGCCATCTTGGATTTTAATGTGGCAACCCAATTTTCAGTAGTGATTTTTCTGATGATGGAAGGCATTTCCAATTCTCCACTTCACTCCGCAACGGGGGACAATAAAGATTTTTAGTTAGTTTGTTTTTGTTGGAATAATAGGATTAAATGTCCATTTGGTGGCATTTTTAACTCTTTCGGAGCGTGTTGAGGTGAAATGCGTCCTTGTTTGTTGGTCTGCTCTTATGATGGTTGTGCCCACCTGCTCAGCCCCACCAGGTGATAAATGACACTTCTCAAATGTCTCTCTGACACCAAAACTGCATCATGATGTTGCACTTCTTCTTTAAGTTTACGTTTTTGAAAAAAGACGCCGTGGGTTCTCAGATATTTCTCGTTTTGTTGTAGCTCAATCTTTTGATGGATCACAGTCAGAATCAGAAAGCCCAGATTTCCAGCGTGAATTCACAGACGAGTGCTTTATTCGGCGCTGAGTGCAGGAACAAAGGCTCCTCCTCTGTTCATATTACACTCAAGTATGTTATCAACGAGAAATATCTGTCGAGGTATTAATTTTTGTCATATCTGCGCTCGTTCCTCCACAGAGGGATATTACAGCTGGCGAGAGGACCGCTTCATTTGAGGCGTAATATACAGCCGTGAGATAAAGAGGAGGGCGAGATTAGAGCCGGCGCCGAGAAGAAGGGAGAATTACATAAAAGAAAAACACGAGGACCCGGAATGATAATTAGTCCTGCTCCAACTTGAGTAGAATGGTTGGCTTCTGGGGCCACTGGGCTGTTTTACTGGTTCAGAGAACCAGGAGCAGTGCAAACATCCTGCAGTTGATGCTGTGCATGAATTTTATTTTATTTATATATATAAAAGCTTTGAGATGGATCCATGGATTGGGGCCCTTATTTTGAGTAATGAGGGCGTTGCTTTGGTCTGTCGTGGTGAAGAAAACGTCAAGTCTAAAAGCAAAGCTCTGGATTCACTGGTCTGTACGTTCCAGCCCTCTCCTGTGGTCTTGAGGTTTGGATCTGGACAGAAAAGAACCAGATCCTGGATCCAAGCAGCTGAAATGAGCTTCCTTCATTGGGGGGTGGGGGTGGGGGGGGCTCAGCCTTAGAGAGAGGGTGAGGAGCTCCATCGTCCGGGGGGAGCTGCTCCTCCGCATCAAAAGGAGTCGGCTGAGGTGGCTGGTCTGATCAGGATGCCTCCCTTTGGGTTTCCAGGTTCGAGCCAGAACTCTCTGGAGGAATTCTGTATCTTGTCTGGTGGGAACTCCTTGGGGTCCCCCAGGAGGTGCTGGGGAGTTTCTAGAGGGAGGGAGGTCTCGGTTTCTATCCTGGACCTGTTTCCTCTACAGATCAGAGGTAGAAGATGGAGATTCTGTCAGAGGTGCTCGTTGTGATGTTTGGACTGAATCAGCTGTCGGTAGAAAACAAAAGCTGTGGAGATCGTTTCAAGTTTAGGAATTTGAAATGAACTCATTTTTACACTCCAGTTGACAGACGGACGAGTCATGGCACAGTCTGTGTCCAACCGTACCAAGTCAAGGTCGCAAATCAAGGTCAAGGTTAAAACAAGAATTTGTTTGCCCTGCCTATAACTTCTGATCCGCTCAAGAACCTCACAGCACGTCGTGATGTTTGTCACCCCAGCTCTGAGTTCAAGGTCACAAATCAAGGTCACCGGTTATACAAGGTCTTTGCTTGTCCGTTCCATTCGTATGGATTGCTGTGTAATAGCTTGTTGACGGCCGTATGCAGTACTGCTGTGTACATCTTTGTCACAATAACAAAAGTATAATTTAAAGCTACTTCTGTTCTGGACCGCTCTGCGTTCTAGTCAGCAGTAATGGCGGATCATTGTGGTTTAATTACACACAAAAAACAAACCAAGAGATAAAATCCAGTTTTTGATAAAAGCCTGTGGACTGTAATAAAGGTCAGATCTCTGTCAGCCTGACTCAGATGAGATGTTGTGGTATTTTCTTGGTGGGGGGGTTGTTTAATATTCATAAGTTAAAGGAGGGCAGGAAATGAAGCTTCTGTTCAGCAGAGACACATTCAGGCCAACCAGAACATAAGTGTATATTTTAACATGGCTTTTTTTTAAAGATCAATTAAAAATGCACGGGAAAAAATGACTGAGCTCTTTCTCCTCTTGGTTCCCCCCTCCCTCCCTCCCCTCACATGCAGACAAGTCTCAAAGTTTCGTTTTCTTTGATGACGGTAAGCTGTGCTAATTGAATGGAAATGTCAGCGTCAGCCCCGTGAGGCTGTAATCAGTGCTCCACGTCTCCACCCGCTCATCGTTAGTGTGTCGTTTGTGTTCCTGTCGACGCTCAGGACCGGGTTCATCTACCGAGTCATCAAATGATTGCAGAACCCCCCCCCCAGCACCACATACCTGTCCCGGGGTGACAGATTACCTGCAGACTCAGTCGTTTGAATTTTAAATATTTTACTAGATAAAAAATATGTAAAAAATTAGGATAAACAGTGGGGACATAATTGTTTTATTAGTATATACAAATATATTATGGTACAATATATTGCAGCCCAGCAAATACCAACTATATAATATCCTTTGTATCCTAGTACAACCTGGTAGTTACTCAGTACATACCCAGTACTTAATTGGTAATCTACCTGGTAAGTACCCAATACTTACCTGATATATACTTGTATCTAGTACTTACTTAGAATTTACCTGGTACTTACTTGGTAATATGCTCAGTACATAATTATCAGCATGACCTAGTACTTAACTGGTAGTGACTCAATATTTACCCAGTATTTACCTGGTAATGTGCCCAGTAAGTACCTAATACTTACCTAATATATACTTGTATATATCTAGTACGTACTTA